ATATTCATCTAACTTGATTTGTCACTCTTCTACAATTTGTAATCTGCATTTGTTCATTACTTTGGCTTCACCAGTACAACCTTCAAAGTAGCGCAGGAGGAATAAAGACCAGACATAATGTCAGGACAGCTGCCTCCTGGTCACACTCAGTGACACCTGCAATGGCCCAGGGTCCTGACAGTTGCTTACAACACAGTAGGCTTACATGTGCCGATGATAACCTGTCCGAAGCAGCACAACCTAATCCTGGGAGACTGAATTGATCTTGTGCCATCATTTGGGAAATTTCGGTCAGGGTCATACTTACTTTTTGATATTACTATACTGATGTTGCGGTGGCTAGCATTGCTGCCTTGCAGCGCTGGGGTCCTGGGTTCAAATCAATGGGGTGCTATCAGCGTGGAATGTTGTTTTTCCCTTTATAAGTGTGGGTTTCCTCCAGGTGCTCCAGTTTTCTCCCACAGTCCAAAGATATACTGGCAGGTTAATTGACTTCTGGGAAAACTGGCCCTGGTTTTAAAGTGTGTGCTCGTTTGTGTCAGTGTGTGCCCTGCAATGGACTGACGGCCCATCCAGGGTCTATCCTGCCTTGTGCTGTTGGGATAGGCTCGGGCTCCTTCTCGCTCCTGTGTTGGAAGAAGCAGTTAGAAAACAGATAGATGCTATTATACAGACTGAGCTGTTGGTGGAGTAGAAAGGTTAGACAGTCTTTAGGAAAGGTTCTTTTGTCCTGAATAGCCTACCCCTAGCCTGTATTATTTCACGTTTTCTAAATTAGAATCATTTTCAGGGAAGCAATTCTTTTATTCCTCTCATTAGAAAGTGTCAATGTGACTATTAATGTAACATTAGATGTTGTTTTGCTTATTTAGCCTTATTTAACCATTTCTTTTTGGAACAGTTTGAATCAAGAAGCATCAATTAAAATAAAACTTCTCCAACTCGAGTGTCACTTCACTTGGGGTTTGAGAAAAGTTGATCCCGACCTGAAAGACCTGCAGGACAGACTTCAGGAACAAATTGGGCTTGGCCATGGCGGAGATACAGGGACCATTTGCTCCTACAACCTTCTGGCTTATGTAAATCACCTGCAAGGTTTCAATGAAGAAGCATTAGAAAACCTAAGAAAGGCTGAAGAATTTATAAAGAAACAGCATGGAGATGAATATGGGAAGTTTCTCAGTATTACTTATGGAGATTTTGCCTGGGTGTACCATCACATGGGTGACCTCAGCAAAGTCCAGAGCTACCTGGACATGCTGGACAATATTAACAAGAGATTCCTGGCCACCTCTCCAGCTGACCTCCAGCCTGCTGTATATGGGGAGAAAGGCTGGAGCTGTTTGAAGTACAACCGGAAATACTACACAACAGCCAAAGAGTGTTTTGAAAAGGCTCTGATAGTGGAGCCAGAAAATGCTGACTGGAATGCAGGGTATGCTATCGCACTTTATCGGCTTGAAGGGTTTGAATCAGAACGGATTAGTGCTAAGGACTCAGCTGCCCTGAAACAGCTAAGAAGAGCACTGGAGCTTAACCCAGAAGACTGTGTGATCATGGTCCTGCTGGGCCTGAAGCTTGCACATTTAAAAAAAAACAAGGAAGCTGAAGAGCTAGTGGAGAAAGCTCTGGAGATGTCACCAGACAACCCCTATGTTACACGGTACGTGGCCAAGTTTTTCAGACAG